TAAAAGGTAGCCTGAAACTCCAAATGTATAAATAATGTTAAAGATGTAAGACTTTGAATGTAGGGTTATTCGTAGGAAAAGTAGAAAATGCAAAAAGAACACTGGCAGCGTTATGAAAATAAAAGCTCCATGGTGAAATAGTAACATTTGGCACATTTTATTTTCAAAAACCAGAACATGGGGGGAAAAAACTATATAAAACTTTTATATTCAGGAAACCACAAGTGAAAAGGTGACTTTTTATTTTGTTATCAAATGTGAGGTGAAACATTTTTTATATATTTAAACATTTGCGCTGTTTTTAGCGTTATTTTTTATTTGAATAAAATCTGACAAAGGGAACGTGAAAAAAATGAATACAACTTTAAAAAAACTATATATATATATAAAACTTTTCAAATCAATTACTAACAAATATATTCAGTAAAGCCACAAGTGAAAAGGTGAAAAAAAATAAAGTAATGTGTGTTAGAACAAGTGATAAAAAAATATATACAGTATATACAGAAACTATTCATATCCATTTTGTAATAGTTTTTTCTTAAATCAGTCAACAAGTGAATGAGTTAAAACAAACAATATATAGAAATGTTTCATATCAATTAATAAAGAAAATAACAATCTGAAGAACAAAAAATCTAAAATACAGAAACCACAGTATTCATATAAATTAAATAATAAATCAAACAAGTTTGTTAATTGACCAAAAAACATGAACAGTTGGAAGATTGAAAATGGGATTATTATTAGGATGATGTGTAGGTCATTGAAAAGTAGAATCATTTAGAAAGATGTGAACATTGAAGTTTCTATTTTAGAAAAGCTGACACTGTAGTGCATCGCTGGTTTTAAAAGTGATTTATAAGAGTCATGTTTTGCATATGGTGAGATCTCAGATTTGGCGTAGAGCTGTTGAGGCATGAACCGGTGATATACAAGTGAAGATTGTGGGACGATTGGACGTGTCAATTGGATTAACAGCCACATCGTGTTTCATGGCGAGTGGTCTGTTGCCATGGCAACGACATTTGATGACACCCCATACTACGCTTAGATGCGTTGATGGCTGCATCGTTACCAAACCTGTGAAGTTCTGGGCTGTTTGGAGTATTTTCACTGAAGTTATGAGAAAACCGTGTTTCAAGACGAGCATTGTGTTGCCATGGCAACGGCATTTGAAGAAATCTCAAAACTGTCCCGTAGATGTCTTCACGGCTGGACTGTTAGCACACTGCTATCTGAAGTCTGCTGCTCTGGGGCCACATTTATAAAGGGATATACGCTCAAAAAACGGCGTAAGCCAGTTCTCATTCATAACACTTCGTTCGATGTCTCACTATGGGATGCGCCTCATCGCGGAGCAAACAGAAGCATCAATCTCATTACGCCAATCCTGATTGGCTGGTGATCTTGACGTCAGCGTCAGGGAATTCACCCCCTATAAGTAGCTTGCGCCACGACGCATGCGTCATTCAAACACCTCTTCTCGCTTCAGAGCACATCTCTATAGTAGCCGGACAAGCTTAACGGTCCACAGACTGAATCCAAATAAAACCATTTTGGTCGACGGGCGCTCGCCGGCTACTCCTTCTGCTTTGCAGGAAGACGGTAATACTAACGCCAGTTAGTATTGAAATCGACCTCGCCGTTCTCTTTCCCCGGAAAGTAAGGTAGGTCTGATTTTTTCAAGCTAGCAACACACCTGTTGCTAGCTCGCTCCCTCACTATCGACACCACGGTAGCGAGGAAGCTTTTTATTTTCTCTTCCCCACAGAGGAGGAAAGGATTAAAGGAGCATACTGTCACACCAGTCAGTATTCTCCGGGAATAAAAGACCCACACCGTCCTTTTTTCCAGATTAAGGACAGGGTGGTAACACCTTTTTTCTTACCTGTTGAGAGCGGGTCCTCTCCACGCCACGAGGCGAACAAGATGGACGCCTCTCTCCCTCACACCAGAGGAGTCAGGGACTCGGTGGTTCGACTCTGCGGCTGCGGGTTGAAGATCTCGGGCACAGACACACACCAGGTCTGCTCGTCCTGCCTCGGGCTGGAACACGCCCGAGGCGCTATCGACAACCCCGGCTCGTGCGAACATTGTGTCCGCTTCACCGTGAAGAGCCTCCGCCGACGGCTAGCACGCCAAGCTAGCCTGTCGGAGCAGGACCCCCCCATGTCCACTGACCTGCCGGCCGGCAGTCAAGACGCAGAGAGTGAACCCCTCTCCGTGTCGGTCTGGGGCTCATTATCTGCGATGGCTGCAGAACCGGAATCCCGCGCCCTGGCAGGCCGGGACCTGGTGACGGCAAGACACGCGGGAACGGGACCCCACGCTTTACCGAGCTGGGGCTCCTGGTTAGACCTCACCATGGTCTCACCCGCGGAGGATGTCCTCGAGCTGGACTACGATGAGGACGAAGAGGACGCCTCGGTGTTCCTCCTGTCCGAGTCGGATGAACATGAAGAGGACATCTTCATGTCATCGGCTCAGGCTGCAAAGCCTGGAGCGAGGGCTGCTCTCCCGGGCGATAGCACACCAGCTTCGCCCTGTCTGAGCATGGACCTGCAGGCCGTGTGTAAACGCGCCGCGGCCAGACTCGACATCCCGTGGCCTGAAATGGCCAAGGAGACCTCCAGGTCCCGCTACGAAGGGAAACATTTTCCCCAAGCAGCGCGGACGAAGAGGCAACTCCTCCCGGTCTTCCCGGAGATGTTGGATGAGGTGTCGGTCTCGTGGAGAGACCGGCCCTTCAGCAACAAGGTCCCAATCCAGGGTGCCTCCTCCCTAGACTGTGACGGAATGGAGAAGCTCGGCATGCTCCGCATACCGCCCATGGAACCGCTGGTAGCGGCCCACCTCCTACCGAGGATGGGCCTGTCACCAAGCAGGAACCCCACGCTGCCAGCAAAGTTGGACCGATTTCAGTCGACAATGACTGAACGGTCCTACAAAGCCGCAGCGTTGTCCGCCAGGGCCCTGAATGTGTCCTCGCTGCTAACCGCTTACCAAGCGGAGCTCTGCGAGGACCTGTCGGGTAACCCGGGGGCAGCCACTCTGGACGAGATGGCAGCGGTCACGGACATTTGTGTCCAACGCTGAGCCGTCCAGGCCACGGGCAAGGCAATGGGGATCATGGTGGTGCAGGAAAGAGCGAGATGGCTCAACCTCACCAACCTCCCAGACCGGGAAAAGGAGGATGTGCTGGATATGCCCATCGTTCCCGAGGGAATTTTTGGCTCCGCTCTCGCCTCCATGCAAAGGAGGTGTGAGTCGAAAAAGAAGGAGGACGAGGCACTCCACCTCTGCCTCCCTCAAAGGGTCCAGCCGCTGCCTTCGCAGCAGCAGTCCTTCGCCCAAGCTGCCTCGAACCCTGGTCGGTTTAAAACACCGAAGACGCAGAGGTCGCAGCCCGCCCCGAGTCCCCAGCCCAGGCTGGAGACGAGGGCGAGCTGGCCTAGAAAATCTCCGGTTCCGGCTGCAGCTCAGGCGCAGCCAACCCAGAATTTCGGCCAGCAGTCGAGGAAGAAGAAGCGAGCGGCGTGACAGCCCCTCCTTCTCCCCTCTGTGACAGAGCTGGAAGTCCACGGTTCCCCAGCTCTAAATGTGTTCCCGCCGCCTCGAGAGATGCCTCAACACCATCCTCAAGTCTGCACAAACACATGTCACACATTTGTTGATTTTTCTGTCATAAAACATTTGCCGCTGACGCATCCAGGCTTCAGGCCGAGGGCGGAGCTCAAAAAAATGAAAAGAAAACAAATAAAACCAATAAACAGCCCGTCAACTGTTCCCCTTCTGAGAGCAGCTACGGCATCTCTCAAAAGGCGGATTACAGGTGGGTCTGTGAAGGCACCACCGCCACGCGCATGCGCAGTGCCGGCTGGGGCTTTAAAGGCACCACCGTCACGCGCATGCGCAGTGCCGGCTGGGGTTGTGAAGGCACCACCGTCATGCGCATGCGCAGTGTCGGTGGGGATTGTCGAAAAGGGGCACCACTGTGTTCAGACACTAGAGGACCCCATAACACAACAAATAGAGACTCAGAGGGGAAGAGACGTGACATCTCCACTGGCTCTAAGGAGCATGCAGTGGAAGATGCTCACATCATCTGCTTGGGTTTTCAAGACAGTAACACGGGGCTACAGACTCCAATTAGCTGTCACGCCCCCTCGCTTCTCGGGCATTCTGCATTCGCAGGCCCGAGGAGAGTCAGCCCATATTATGGAGAGAGAGATTCTCTCACTCCTAGAAAAGAGGGCTATATCTATTGTACCCGCCGAGCAGAGTCAGGGCGGCTTTTATTCCAAGTAGGCCTACTTCCTCGTTCCCAAACGGGGAGGGAACGGAATTCGGCCAATACTTGATTTGAGGGCTCTGAACAAATATCTAAAAATATATAAGTTCAGAATGCTCACTCACACATCTCTGCTGCGGCTCGTGCGACAAGACGACTGGTTTACCCACACAGGAAATATCTGAGATTCGCATTTCAGGGGATCTGTTATGAATACAGAGTACTCCCCTTCGGTCTGTCTCTCAGTCCAAGGGTGTTTGTACGATGTACGGAAGCCGCGATAGCCCCGTTAAGACAACAGGGTATTCGCCTGGCGACCTACCTGGACGACTGGCTGCTTCTCGCACAGTCGGAGCAGGAGGCTGTTAAGGCCCTGACACACCAAGCCGATATCGGCTGTTCTCGTAAGTCGGGAGACGAAGCGTGTCCTGTCGCCCAAACTCAATTTGGTGTGTCCCGAACAGTCGACCGTGACACGCCTTATTTGGACTGCCTGACCCGATCCATGGCCGATTCAACATGTTGAACCGGCCATGGATCGGGTCTGGCAGTCGTACCAAACAATCACTCTGATTGGCTGTTCAGCTAGCGAATCAGTGCATGAGAAGCGATACGGAAGTGAGGGACGTAAACAAACGATTTAAGAAGAAGGCACACACAGACTGCTATTCATATTTAAATATAGCAACATCTTTAGCTTGCATACCTGTTGCCAAAAATCGCAGCGTAACCATCTGACGTGTCCCCACGGAGATGCAATCCGGGTAGTTGGTGTTTTCCCTCTGGGTGATTGGAGTGATGAGTTCCTCCAACGTGTGGAACTGCACAGGAAAAAGCCGAGCGAAATTTCTGAAATCTGGCACTTCATTGAATTCCAGCTCTCGACACAGGTTTGGGAAAGCACCGTGAGCTTCTCGCTGTAGTATCCATGACTTCACCCATTTAGTGCGGTTTCTCCTAATTCTTCGCTTCCGCTTCTTGAGAGACTGTTGCTTGAGAATGTCTTCCACAAGTAACACTGCAATGGCTGATAGCTCCAGTGCCGCATGAAACATGTTTTAGATGGACGAGAGGGAAAATGGAACGCACAAGCTATTTCTTGTTGTTTATATCACGGTCTGTTCTTCTTCTCTGTCTTCCGGTTGTTGCCTCTTTTGAATGACGAATACACACTACCGCCGCCTGCTGGTAAGGAGAGTTATTGCCACTCACGCACTGAAGTCTTTGCGGTGTGTTCCCGTGCGACACATGGCCAAGACGCAGGAGAACACGGCCAGGCAACAGCCGACGTCAGCGTCGGCGAGTCCTCTGGTGACTGCTTGGTGTGTCAGGGCCTTTACGCAGACAAATGTCCTTTGTCTCTCCGGACATGGCGCGCGGAGAGTGATGGTTACTGTGAAATGCGTAATGGCACTGCGCCACTGGCTGCACCCGACTTTTCTAGTGCGAGGTGTGCCTATGGGTGCTGTCCTTTCACGGAAAGTGGTCACCACGGACGCATGTCTGACAGGTTGGGGAGGTATTTATGAAGGTCGCCCGGTGAGGGGTCTCTGGAGCAGAGACCTCCAGCGGGCGCACATAAATTACCTGGAGCTTTTAGCGGTGTTTCTCACCCTAAAACGCTTTCTGCCTTTCCTCAGGGGACATCACGTCCTCGTGAGGACAGACAATACGACCACAATATCGTCTATTAACCGCCAAGGGGGTTTGCGTTCTCTCCAGTTACACACACTTGCGCGCAAACTGATCCTATGGAGCGGTAGACGTCTCCTCTCTCTGAGAGCGACGCACGTACCGGGAGTGATGAACCTCGGGGCAGATCTACTGTCCAGAGGTATACCACTTTATGCAGACTGGACTCTACATCCAAGGATTGTGAGTCAGCTGTGGGTGCGTTACTGCAGAGCCGCGGTGGTTCTGTTCGCATCGAAAGACAATGCTCAGTGTCAGCTGTTCTTTTCGATGCGCGATCTAAATGCACAGTTAGGCGTGGATGCACTCGCGCACGATTGGCCCCCGGGCCTTCTGTACGTGTTCCCACCCCTGGCTCTGATACCCCCAACTCTGGCCAGAGTGAGAGAGCAACGCCACACACTTATCCTGATAGCTCCGCACTGGCCAGTTATGTACTGGCTAGCGGAGATATATCAGCTGCTGTGTGGGCAGCCATGGCAGCTCCCACTACGCAGGGACATACTGTCCCAAGCGGGGGGGGGGGGGGGGGGCGATCTTTTCACCCACACCCAGAGCGCTTGGCTCTATGGGCCTGGCCCGTGAGTGGTACAATCTGAATACAGTGTGACATGAAGCTGACCCTGGCAGCTGCCAAGCGAGCCAGTGGCACTCATGCACTATCTGTACAGTCTTCGTGCACTCAGTTCGCCCCAGGGCAAACAGAGTGTGGTTGGCACCCTCGGGTCTGCGAGCTCGACTCAGGGTCTGGCTGCATCCTGGGCTCTGTCCAGGATGTCTCCCATCCAAGACATTGGTGCAGCGGCGAGCTGGTCCTCGCCGCTCACTTTTGTCCGCCTCTTAACAGGCTGGACGTTCTGCTCCCAGTGTGACTCAAGCAGTGCTGGGCACCTGGTTGAGTCAGAGCTCTGCCTGTTAAGTTCTGGTTGGTTTGGTGATTTTCGAGATAAGCTCGTCTGACAATACGGGAGCTACAATTTCCCATAGTGAGACATCGAACGGAGTGTTATGAATGAGAACTATAGGTTACTTACCTAACCCCAGTTCTCAGAGTATATGAAGTGAGATGTCTCACCAGACGGCCCTCCTTGCTATGGTGAAGCGAGAAGAGGTGCTTATTTTGAATGTCGTGGCGCAAGCTACTTATAGGGGGTGAATTCCCTGACGCTGACGTCAAGATCACCAGCCAATCAGGATTGGCGTAATGAGATTGATGCTTCTGTTTGCTCCGCGATGAGGCGCATCCCATAGTGAGACATCTCACTTCATGTTACTCTGAGAACTGGGGTTATGTAAGTAACCCATAGTTTCTACGCAATGTTTGCGATTTATAAAATACTAACTTGACGGGAAAACGTGCGGTCCTCCACGCAAACTCTAACCCATGCGTACGCACTAAGCACAAAAACGGGAGAGACGAGAAACTGCGACACCGCGTTGGCAGAAGGAAGAATGGAGAGAAATATGTGGAAATAATACCATAAACAAAATGTTACCTCTCATTTATCATATGAAGAATTCATTTTCAAACATTGATTAAAGCCAATCTTAAAATGATTAAACAAACGCCTGTTTGAGACTCCTCAGTGCACACAAAAACATAACTTGGAGAAATAAATAAATACGGATATGTTATTTAAAACCACCTCGAATATGTTGTGTTAATGTTATGAAATGTTTTCTCATAAATGATGCGGTTTTGCATTTCAGCTGTGTCAAATAGATTGTTCCCTTTTAGTTAACGTTTTTTTTTTTAAAAGAACATTATATTCCTATTTGATCATGTCCCTTTTATTGTATTACGGAGAGCAATGTGAGCGTCCATTCCCATTGGATAACGGAGGATTTTACACCCGGAAGTAAGTTCTCTTTACTGTCGATTGATTGTACAGTGATATCTGCACTACTCATCAACTCAAAAACACCAGATTATCCTTGTTGATTACACAACATTGATTGGTTTAAATTGTGTGCAATGCTTTTGTAATTTTCCCCTTCGATTCGGAGAAACAAATATTTGTTCAGTTTAGGATGGCCGAAGACACTACACTACCCAGAATCCTCAGCTATCGTTTGGGACTACACCATAGAGGCTTCTCAATACTCAAATTTCCCCTCCTCGACTCCCCTCCTCGGTTCCCCTCCTCGAGACTTAAGAGGCTTCTCAATACTCAAATTTCCCCTCCTCGACTCCCCTCCTCGGTTCCCCTCCTCGAGACTTAGACCCGCCCACAGTGGGTGCGAGCGGAGGACCGAGGAGGGGAACCGAGGAGAGAGGAGGGGAAGCAGCAGACGTTTAAATTAATGAGAACTCCTCTCCTCTGAGCGGTCATTTTAAAGAGACGTCCGTTCATTATTACGTGGCAACAGCTGCATCAGCTGTCGAGTGTTTTGTCATAGCACTGTATCTCTGTTAGATCAGCTGAACATTGTTCCCCCACATATTTACTTTGAATTCATTGAGAGTGCGGTATAATGAGACAATAACAGGCTACAGATGCGGACACACACACAAATATATTTATATAAATATATATAATTTAAAGTATAAGAGCACTTTCATAATAACGTAACACAATCAGAGACTGGATATATCCCCCCCTCTCTCTGGTCGCTGAAATGGGGAATTGAAATTACGGGCCAAAAGTTGTATTTACAAGTAGGCCTATTAAAAGTAAGCAGAGGACACCAAACCAGGGGCGGCGCCAGGGGGGAGCTAGGGGGTGCTGAAGCACCCCCCAGGATTGCCAAAGCACCCCCTAAGCACCCCCAAGAAATATGTGTTTTTTTTTTTTTTTTTCGAAAATTATTATTATTATTTTTATTAAATTAAATTAGAAATATTATTGATTACATCAATGCATATGTGAAACAAACACATTTTTGACCAAAAACATAAAGCCAACACAGGTGATATGATTAGGCCAATGGTCAGCACCCATTCGATTTTTGACCTACCCATAGGCTAAATTACTTTGTGACACTTGATTGACTTCCTGTTAGCTAGAGCGCCAAATGATTTGCTAACAGCAAAGTGAAAAATTGATCGTTTTCTAGTCCTTAAACGACCACGTGTGGACACTCAATCAAAACCAACTGAAAGCGAGAGGGATTCTGCACATAATAGGCCTCGTGAGTACAAGTAGCTTACTTCTGGGTCTCTGTGTTTCATTCAAGCCCTGCTCTGTGTGTGTGTGTGGCACGAGCCATTTTGTGTGCGTGCGTGCGCGAGCGAGCGAGAGAGCTCGCCTCGCGCACCAGTGGGTATCTACCGGAGATCGTTGTGGTTAGCATCTGGTGCTAGCTAGCCAAGCTAATGGATATAAGGAGCTTTTTCAACAACAAGGTGGAGGGAGAACTCTCTCCTGTCAGACGGAGAGTCTCAGGTAACCTCAACTCAGGTGAAGTAAAGGACTCTCTCAGTGTTTAGATAGTTAACTTTAGTCTAGTTATCTCAGTGGGTCTCAAACGGTTTGTTTTAAAAGGGGAGTGATTTGTAAAATATCTATAAAGAAATAGAACATCTGTTGACAGTTCTGTTTCGTATGGGTGTTGAGATGTATCCATAGATCTCTTAATGTTGCTCTCAAAGTGCACCAGATTGATGCTTTTAAATTAAATATGTAACAAAAAATCTTCCCGGGGGAGCTAGCCCCCGGACCCCCCTAGAGGAGGTGAGGACCCTCCTAGAGGAGGTGAGGTCCGCTCCCCACTTGTAAAAATAGCACTTTACCCCTGCCTATATGCCGTGAGCTAATTATCGAGCCTTCATTGTAACAGTCGCGGGTGCACTGTGTGTGTGTGCGTGGGGAGTGTTGCAGTAGAAAATGCAACTGTAGCGCTGGTGCATTAATGGGAAACCCTAAATGTTTGAGCACCCTCTATGAAACGTCAAGCTACCCCACAGCACCCCCTAGAGAAAATCTCTGGCGCCGCCACTGCACCAAACCAACTGAGACCCGTCTGTCCGCCGCATTTACGCACTGTACAACACACACCTACACACTGTACCACACACACCTACAGCTCCTAAAGCATAAGCCGTTGTGTATTTTATTATGTGAAGCAATGGTCTTAGAAAAATATCGACTCTTTGTTTGTAGATATCTACTAAACTAAAGCAAATAAAGAGAGTAGGCCTGTTATACTGAGTGATATATATTATACACACTGCTCTGCTTTCTGCATGGACCTTACAGCTGTTCTCTCTGGAAACATCGCGACGCGATGAAAGCAGTTTCTAAAATAATATCCAGGGGATGCATGCATAGCTGTCATTGGCTGAGATAAGTCCGGCCGTGCGTCACACCTCCACCGTTCCCGGAAATGCATCCGTGGAGGAGCCGTGGAGGAACCATCAGTGTATCCTCGGTTAGAGCTCCTCCAGAGAGCCTCCTCGACGCTCGATCCTCGGTGTGCATTTAG